AATTAAAGAAATTTTTAAAAAAGCCTATTTATAGTTAATTTGTAATTTCGCCAATCCGCCGATGTGATATATAGGGTATTGTGGCGAATGACAGTAACCCGTGATCCGTTGATCCGAATCGACCTACTTTCTTATATTATTTAGATTCGTCTCATTAAGACGAAATAGTGCAAGCTCGATTTTAATCACTAAGTATAAAAAATGGTGTGACATTAGGATGTCGATATCTCATGATAGAGTTTTTCTACTGATAAATTGATCACGAGATACTGTATTATTGATTCGTTACTCCTTACCATAAAGGTATTTGATGATCTAACAATCAGAATCGAACCGCAGATCAATATGGGTGGATGACCTGAACATGCCTGATCAGTCTGGTACCGATTTTAAAACTAAACCTACTAATTTGCTATAATTCCTAACCCTAATATTATAACACCGTATCTGTATAGTATGGTTTTTTAAAATCAGGCCTGTACCATACGGATCTGGTAGTCCATACCATAATGATTGGCACAAAACCGGAATCGAATTGATAGATCATTATATATATATATATATATATATATTAACAATTCGCCACAATACACTCATTTATATTATAAAAAAAAAAAGCTTACAGCATTTCCTAGAAGATGATAACGGAAACGTCAGATATTTAGCGAAATTCTATAATAAATATTGAACAATAAATGTAAACATACCAAATGCAACAATAGCATTGTTTCCTACTAAAGTAAAAGTATGTGCATAACGAGCTGAGGGTGGAGTTCCGGTTGTGTTTTGCAGAGACCAAGATAATATTTCATTGAATGTATCTAATACAGCAATATCATTATATTTTAGAAAATTTAAATCTGCTCCACCAAATATTATAATCTTGTTATCAGGTGCTATTTTTCAAAGCAGCAGATATTGAATTAATTAGTAATGAATCGATTTAATTAATAATCACTTGATTAGATTAAAAAAATTATTAGATTATCCAACACATACTTCCAATAGCTCCATGAAGTCTTCGATTTGGAGGTGATGGGTTTGTAGCATTCAACTACCAATAAATAAATAATAAACGAATATTAAATATTAAGAAAAGTTTTCATTAAGAGAAATATATAAATAGGCTAAAATAATCCTTGTAGCTTTGTTTTAATTTAATAAATTACCTGAGACCAAGTGTTCTGTAAGGTGTCAAAAATATAAATTTTGGACATAGAAGATAAAGCGCCATTAGCACCAGGAATAAGGCCACCGATTATGTAAATTTTTCCATTACTCAAAATTGTAGCCGAATGTTGTATTAATCCTTGTGGTGGTGCATTATTAGTGTTAGATTGGAGAGAAAAGCTGCCACTATCTATATTCAACGCATACATATTTTTAGAAAAAGAAGGGGATCTAGGAGTTGAGCCCCCCAGTACTTCTGCTGATGAACCGGTGTATCCACCATATATATAGGCCACAGAATCATTGATTCTAGTAACCATTGAGGATTCAATTGTTCCAGGAGGATTCGAAGAAGAATTTTGTATATTCATTTGAAGAGTTATTGTATCAAAATATAATAATGAATTGGAAGGTTGCTCACCGGGTGTTTCACCACCCCATATAACCACTTTAGAACCTCCTGTCGACATAGCGTGAAAAGAAATATTTGGCGCATTTGTGGGAGTAATATTTTGCCATGGAGAGCTTGCAGAATCAAATGAACTTGTCATGTCTAGCATTAATAATTCATTAGAATCATCATTTAGCCCCACAGATTCTGAAGTTTTTGGTGGAATTATTAATCTACCCCCATACACATATAATCTGATCAAAAAATAAGAATTAAAAATAAGAATTAATTAATTATTAATTTTAAATGCAAATAATTCTTGCTTACTTGTTATTTATCAAAACAGCACCATGTCCGCTATAAAAAAAAAAAAACAATGTTAGATAAAAGTTATTTTAGTCAACAACAATCAATTATAAAGAAACCATTTAAAGTATCAATTTACAATCGATGAAATTCAGAGCCAACACTTCCAATCCATATGCACTGTACCAATAAATAAATCACCAGAAAAAATCGATAAAATATTCGCATTTGCTTGATCTTTATATATCTAATTATTATTATGTGCTATACGTAATTATTCACGATAATACACTGAACTAAATATCTGGTTTATTCCTTGTAATGAACCTGATAAATCTTGATGACTATTCGCTTTTTTTTTCGAAACTTTTAAAACGATAATCGTTATATATAATAAATGTATCATATAATAATAGCAATTTTGATGATAACCATTAAAATTTTGCAATTGATCACGAAATAAAACCAATTGATAAAAGAGGAGAACCTAAGGTACTTAAGTTTCCAATTGAACCAAAAGGTAATGGTTGTGTTATGCGATAGAAACGAGATATAAATGAACGAATAAAATTTATTTTACAAAACGCGGAATGGAAGAAAAAACGTGACCTAAATAAAGAAAGAACGATAACGATAAAGACTAAGGAAGATGGTCGAAATAAATATAGTTAGCGAATAATGGATACGAATGAAAAGAAAAAAGTACAAAAGAAAATAGTTATAATTATTTGAATGTTTGATTGTGAAACATTTTTGTAGTATTTGAAATTTCTAATGCGGAATAGTTACACAAACATATACAGTAACAGATAGGTACACCCCCAAAATAGACGAAAACTTGTCATAAATATATTAAATTGTTTATTACCTTGTCGCATTGTGTTATCATGCGTTTCTGAAATGTGCGCGCGTGAGTTATAAAACATATTTATTTGCGTTACATAAAAACGTACTGTACCTGTACGTATTACGATACATTAAGTGAATTTTCTTGCCACCGTAGATCCATCCGTACATAACTTAATATCTGATATTATTTAAGGATGTAAGCTACGTATTCTCTATATATATAGTTAAAAATATAATAATAGTAATGCAAGATGTATAAATTGTATAGTTTTAGGTATATACGTAAAAATTTATTAAATGATTTCTGAATTAAGTAGACAAGCCGAACAAAAAAAATAAAATTAAAAAAATGATAGGTTAGAAGCTTTTAAATGGACCTGATCGGGCCAATTTTAAGTTGTTCATGTTTAATATATAATGTATTAAACATATTGAACATCGATTCTGGTCATTTTTTCGGCTTTTGCTAATAATTTAGATTGACACGGTTTAACTTAAAGCAGCATCTACAATATATAGTACGACAGATAAAAGTAACTCTTTCCAAACCAAAACTCAATTATTAACGGAAAAAGGGATCTTTAAGTTAAGCATGTAACATTCAATGAAACTTCGATTGTATAAATTCCGAAATTTGCAATTCGTTAAAGTATAAAACGAATAATGAATTAATTCTGTAAAAAAAAAAAAAAAAAAAAAACTATGTCAGAAATAAATGATAAGATGTCTTATAAGAGACAGCGTGTTTCTAAGGCCTGTGACTCTTGCCGTCGAAAGAAAATAAAGGTAAATAATTCTTTCTTTGATTAATGCCGTACAATATTGGTATACAAAAGCCCAACTATTTTAGGAGATTTACAGAAGTTTCGTCGTATTGATAATTTATGTCGCTTAATGTTTAGCCGTCAAAGAATTTTATAGTTTAATGTTTAGCCGTTAAAAACATTTTATGTTTAAATTAGGAAAATGGAGATCTCAATAGAATAGTTACAATTTCTCTAACAGGTTTATATTTTTCCTGCTTCGTTTCAATTAGTGTGGTGGCGCTCCTCCTGTATGTAGTAACTGTTTGGCTTTTAACTTGAACTGTACCTATAATGACACTACCAAAAAAAGGTAATTATTTTCCTTTTTTGTTTTTTTTTCGATTTCTTTTAATTTTCCTGATTATTTTATTATACAGGGGTCCACCTAAAGGTTATATAGAAGCTATTGAATCTCGATTGTATAAAATGGAGTCACTTATGGGTGAATTAGTTCATAGCAACGACCCACGTGCAGAAACGATCTTGGCAGAATTGATGAAGGATGATTTGCATCCACTTCATAAGGCCAGAAAGGTGAATTACGCAGCAAGGCGAAATAGAGCATCATCATTTGATGATACATTAGAAACTAGATCGATTGAATCTTTAACAGATTCTTCAACTAATACAAATGATAATGATGAAACTAATTTTATTAATGATATCATGGGGATTTTCTGCATAGATGACAAAAATCAAGCTAGTTATTTCGGAAGGAGTAGCGGCCTTCATCTTTTAAAATATAGTGATCAATACAAGTATGGATTTCTGTCACTTAATAACACAGTTTCATCAAATCAAAATTTGGTATTGCGACCAGAACTTACAGAAATGCCATCTCAAGAATTATCTAACCATTTACTAGAACTTTATTTCAATCATGTCCATCCTTTTTATCCCATTATATACAAACCACGATTTTTTAAATTGTTAAATGATCACGAACATCCACCTTATCTTTTATTGAATTCTATGTACTCTTTAGCTTCAAAATTTTCCGATAGGCTTGAAGTAAGAAAGGATCAAAAAGACCAGTTAACTGCAGGAGATTTATTTTTCAGTCGTGCGAAGGCTTTGCTCGACAATTGTTATGATAAAGCTCACGCAACAACCATTCAAGCTTTGCTTTTATTATCTATTAGAGAGCATGGATCCGGTAAAACTACGAGAGCTTGGATCTATACTGGTATGGCAGCAAAAATGACACAATGTTTAGGAATGCATCGTAATGAAAAGTTACGTTCTGTAACACTGTCTCATGGAGAAAAAGAAGAACAAAAACGTATCTTTTGGGCTTGTTACGTTCTTGAAAGGTGAATTTACATTTATACTGATTTATGTCAAAAGGTCCGCAAAGTAATTTAAAATTACATTGTCAGGGCCTTTTGCGAAAATCTATATTCTTGAAAAGTTTATAAATTGGTCATGTCCGTCAATACTAATGCACTACGTTATAGAATACCAAGTGTACATTTTGGACGTCCATTGGCTATTAATGAGAAGGATATAGATGCCGCTTATCCATCAGAAGAAGATGATGAATACGAATCACTTCCATTTAAAATGGAACAAGCTTCGTCTCTTTTCTCTATAAATAATAACGCAACGACTCAAACTAACGAGGAATATAAAGAGCCTAAGGAAAATCAGGGACACGTTATATCACGATTTAATTGCTTGATTAAGCTTTGCGAAATAATTGGTCGTATTCTTCAAAACGTATATACGATTAAATGTAATCAATCATCAGTTAACGATTCAGTAATTTCGATCCTTGAATCTTCGCTTAGGACCTGGTTCTTAACATTACCACCACATCTGCAATATACTTCATTAGATCAACATTCGGACAATTTGAATGTATCAACTCTCAGCCTTCATGTGTTATATTATGAGTCATTAATGCTTCTTCATCGTCCATACGCAATAGAAAACAATTCATCTCATAAAATATGTACATCATCAGCAGAAGTCATTTCCAATATTGTTGATTCGATGTTTAGACAGAATATATTGAGGAATACATTGCCAGTTGTAGTTTACATAACCTTTATAACTTCTATTATTCATACTTGCAATGCTTCTCAATCTGATACTACTATCTCACAACCTGCAAAGACGAGTCTTGCAAAATGTATAAGAGCGTTAGAGTCTTTAAACGACATCTGGATGACACCAGAAAAATATATCAATCTGTTAATAGGATTGGTAGAAATAAAAGGTCTTCAATTAGATACAAATTTAGAATCATTAAGTGACCGCGCAGAAAGTAGTCGTGATTTGAAAAAAAGAAATAATTTTTCAAACAATCAATTAAGCTCGCTTGATTCCGTTGGTCGGCAGGCACGATTTCGTGCACAGTATAATAAATCACATAATAATAATAATAATAATAATAATAATAATGAATATGATAATAATAATAACGATAATAACAATATCAGTGTACCACCTTCAGACCCTTTTACTGCATATCAACGACCCTCTTCAGTAACGAACCGTAATAATCCTGCCATAGATTCTTCACCACCATTTACTTTTAATCAAGCCCAACCATCTCGAAATCTACGTCATAACTTTCAAGAATCCGCACAAATGTATAACTCGCTTGGATTCAGGAATATGCCAACCACCACTAACATAAGCAGTTCTGATCCTTTCGCAGCACAAGGTGTAGTTTCAACAAGCAATGGAGTTGGATTTTGGAACATTCCACAAAGTGCAAATTTCGAAGACTGGTCTTACGTTCATACACAACAAGTACAGCAAGGTGTCACATTACCTTCTCAAACAACACTTTCTCCACCTATGACATCACAACCACTATTATGGGAATAATGTGAATATATTTACAAATAATCAAGCATTAATATTGGAACTTAAGAGAGCTGAAAATAATGGTAATAGAAAGACAAATGCTCGTGATTCGAGTACAAATAGAGACCGTTATAGCGATTCTTGTGACAATTCAACTATACCATTTGAATATATTATTGAATCTTATTTTTTTCTTTTTTTTTTTTTTAAAAAAAAAAAAAAGTTGAATTTTATAAGTTATGCCTTTTATCGTTATATTTATGTTTTAATTTTGATTTTTTTCGTTATATTCATTTTTTTTTTTCTTAAAAAAATTATAAAAGAATTTAATTAAAAATAAAATAAATTTAATAATTTGCTCATTTTGCCGGCTATTCCTATGCCCGAACCCAGCGGAAAAGCAGGCTTATTTAAATTAGGCCCGCTAAATATAAAACGGAAAGTCTACGGACAACAAAATTTTCACAAACACGATTGGTTGTCGATCCTTAAAATTTGATTGGCTAATTATAGTAGATACACTCGCTCATATGAGAAATCATTAACGAACTTGATTAAATTTGCCAGAAGCAAGTGATACTAACGAATAGTATTTCTACAAAGTTTTGTCAACTGTTTATTATGTAAATTTATTACTTGCTACTCGGAAGTAATAAATTTACATAATAAACAATTGACGAAACTTTGTAGAAATATTTGATATAATAATTTATTAACTCGAAGGTAGTGCTTGTAGTCAAACAAAATTTATCACTCGACTAAGCCGATATTTAAAAATCGGCTTAGCCGGTCGATTTTTTTAAAATCGGCTAATCGATTTTATTTACAAAATTAGCCAAGTGATATATTTGATACGCTATTGATCTCGGCGTATAGGGTGTGAGCAATTATAATGTTTATTCGCTTATCAAATCAGTAAAATAATCACTCAGCTAATCATATGAGCGAAAATATCTAGTTTGAAACACAGTGATTAGTGATAACAAGGTGATCAAGTTATATCAGGTTACAATTAGGTACATACATACAAAAAAATTCATAAGTAATTAGGTTACAATCAGGTACATACGTACAGAAATTTATAAGTAATCAGGTACATATGCATAAAATTTATAAGTAATTAGGTCACAATTGGGTACATACGTACAAAAATTTGTAAGTAATCGGGTTACAAAAAAATTTATAAGCGATTAATAAGCAATTTATTATCGGACTTAAAATTTCTGATCAAAAAATCACTTTTATTCTTAATAATCATGCTATATCACATAAATGACTGGCTCAAATTTTATTTAACCTAATCACTCACGTTAAATCATCACGAAATTGGAAATTTTCGCTCATATGGTACGTAAATATCAATAAATTATCAATCTGCATTAGATAATTGCATGTCGGAGAAATAGTCATCGGAAAATAAAACGTAACCTATAAAATGTGCGCGTGTAATGAATTTAACATATATGAAGCATAATTTAGACATACGAATCTAGGCATAAAATTCAAGAATGAACAAATTAAAATAGAGATTGACAATTTTATGAAAGACCTTCGACTTAGAATTACTGTACTATTTATAATATTATGATTCTAGATTCACTTGGAATGTTTGAAATAAGCTTGACGAATAGAATGACAGCAGGAAAGATTAAGGTGCAAATAAAGTTAATAAATCATTCTTGGAAACTGATTACATGCGTAAATGGATAGTCAAAGAATTTAATTGCCAATTATCTTACCAAACATTTGATTTTATGCTTACTACAGTATCAGCGTCTAAATAATATTGACAAGAAAAGAATGGAAATCTCAGTTCCAAGACAAGCTCGAGCCTAAGAAACTAGTGTGTATATATTACAGATATTAACTCTCGATAAACCAGGATTAAATCAACTCTCGATATACCGGTATATATCACGTGACATCCGAAATACCAAAAGGATGAATCACTCGATAAACTGTGTTTATCGCACGTGACACTCGCATTATGTGATAAATATCTACAGTTAATCGTGAGAGATCATCGCTCGATAAATCGTGTGATTATGTAATAGTACAGTATAATAGGGGGGATCGTCACTCAATATACCGATACTCTCGTTATACCGGTGATTCCGGTTTATCGAGAGTTTACCGTACTATTATTACTATTGAACCTAGCTGCCGCACAAAAATGCGCGGATGATCCTCGATTTTGATTGGCTAAGAGCGACGATCAAAAATTTTGGCCAGAATTACTCAAAATTTTACTAATGAAATCACTGCTGCGTATTAAGTGAAAATTGATCCTGGGTTGATTTTAGCATAGCGCAGGCCTATTTCTTTGAAAATTTATATTTTTAGAATGAAAAAGTTAAAAAATTAATTCCGGTCAGAATTTAGTAAACAATTATGTAATGCGGACCAAAATTTTGCAGATCTACAGCTGTTAGCCAATCAAAATCGAGGATCATCCGTGCATTTTTTGTGCGGCAGCATGGTGGACATCCATTGTTATACGAACCTTCCAAATTTAAAAAGTTTGACTCAGTGCCAATTCGTCCAATAAAAAATCTAAGATCATCAAACACATGAAATTAAATAATTAGTTATCTTCTAACACGTGATAGTTGGCCAATCACATTTATTATAATTAATAACGACTTTTAAAATTTTTATTTTACTTGATCGAAGATATCTCGCGATCTAGTGGCTAGAATTTAATAATTTTTATATCATTCGATTCGTCTTATTGAGACGAATCGAATGTTATAAAAATTATCAAATTCCAACCACTAGTTTATAAAATATAATCAATAAATCTGCAATTTTCTTTAATAAAAATTCATTTTTACTTAATCTAACTAATAAGCATATCCTTCTAAATCGTTTTATATTGTACCTTAAAAATTATAATTGTTAAAATTTTAGTAAAAATTCCACTTAATCGTTAATAAAACAATAATTCGTTATAATGTAATTTTATATATTTAAGAAATATATAACGTGGATTAACTTAGCCTTTTATTTATTTTTTTGCATGGATGTTATTTAAAATTGTTTTGTGTATCTTCTACGAAGTACCAGATCTTGGTTACTTGTCGTCCTTTTCTTCATTTAAACTGAAATGTCTTTGCTTTCCCGAATTATGAATTAAACTACCTTCGATCTCTTATAAAACCCACTTCTAAGAAAACTTTTTAAATATTCTAATTATTTTTGATTAATTTTAATAGAATATAGATATTTGAAAGTTCTTTTCGCCGTGTTCTTTCTTTTATGAATTTAATTGGTAAGTTTTTGAAAAATCACGAGAACAAAAAGTACTTTAAAGCGTATAAAAAACGAAAAAAATTTTTTTTATTAAGTTGTGTCGATCATTACCAAATATAGAGATGTCCACCATGCTGTTTAAATATTATAGATATATAGTTGAAGTGATTTGTAGACTGTTATTGCTATACCTATGCTTGATTCTTGTTTTTTAGCTATTTCTAAATTGCAATTAGATGTATAGATTTGGTAGTAAGGATTAAGTAATTGGTAATGACTATTATAAGATTCTGCAATTTTTGTTTCAGTTATACTGATTAGATAATAGTTGTTGTTATTATAGAACTCTAGAAAGAATTGGAGTTTGAAAGAATTGTTAAGTCCTTAAACATTATATATAATAATATTAATAGAATTAAGTGAGTCGATATAGTATTAGTTCAGTTGTGATGTGAGTGTAGGTGAGTTAAAGTTTACGTCATCTTGTTAGTTGTAATTCATATTAATTAATTGAAGATATCCTAGGTGGATACTAGTAGAGATAGAAGTTGTAGAAAATATGTTAGTATTTTGACTATGTTGAAGTATTGTTTGAGAGTTGTTAGTATAGATGTTATGTCTTGTTGTTGTATAATAGAAAGTATAGCAAGAATATTGTCTTGAATAAGTTCAAGTTTTTCTTGAAGTTCTACAAGCATTGTTAAAATAGTTGGTTTTTTGTTAGTATTATTTGTATTTATACTTGTAGTTGAACTTAGTTAGGTATTATCTTGATCAATTTTTATCTAAGCATCAAACAGTTTATCAAAGTAGTATTGTATTCAAAGTAGTCTTGCAGTATATATAAGTTGTTAAGAAGTTAAGATTGGAAGTATTAGATTGAATTTTGAGATATCTTTTAGGTTATCTAGTAGTCTGAGTTTATCTGTAGAATTAGCTGTTATTATATCAGTATGAATTAGAAATTGAACTTTGTATTTGTATAAAACTTTTTATAAGAAGTCTTTTGCTATACTGTCATCTGAGATTAAGTATGTATATTAAGAGATAGTCTTGATTTTTTTTGATCTGATAGTAAAATTAGCTTCTGTTTAAAGAAATTATTAGATATTCTTTTGAAGAAGTAATAGTTACACAGTAATTCTACTACTTGTTGTAGAGTAAATTTATAATAGTTTGGATCAATTAAAAATAAATATCTGACTCTGCTATTTAGTTAATAGTAGATCAGAAGTAAAAGTTCTTTTGGTGAAAAAAGGTCGAAATATGATAATAGGATTTTTGTTAAGCTATAGTAGTCAGCTAATTTGTTTCAGTAGTAAGCAAGATGTTTAAATGCTCTAGGATCAGTTATAGGAAAAAACTTTTTAAGTTCTTCTTTGAGTTGTGTAAGATTATCTAGTGCTTGAGGTAGAGTAATAAAGTATGTTTCTGGTAGAGTATTGAAGTTGATAATAGTATATAAAATATTAGTAATTGCTTTAGTTTGTGATCTCTTGATTATTGGCAATTCAAAAGAAAGTGTTTTATAAATTTCTTTATCAATTAATTCTAGTTTTTTAGATAGAATTTTATAGAAAAAGGTATGGAATTAGTAGATTGTATCAAGTATAATTTTTGGATTTTCAAGTAGAGTTGCCTTGATAAAATTTCTGCAGTACTTGAGTATTTGGAAGGTTTGATATAGGTTAAGAGGTCTGAAATTCAGATTTGATAAGTAATCAGTTGTAAGTTTTTGTCAAAGTTTAGTTTGTATTTGATTTCTAGTT